TCTTTCTACTCTAGCTTGGATATAGGCCTCCTCGGGATTAGTATTTCTCTCTTTGGTGTTTATAAAATTTTCTATGAAAAAGATATTTTATTTTATAACAATATAGAGTTTAGAAGTTTAGAATGGCTGGTGTTGAATTGTGCCTACACACACACACACACAAACACACACACACACATGCTGAAATTCATGTAGTGAAGCCCTAAAAATCAACACCTTATAATATGACTTTATTTAGAACAGTGGTCATTTTAGCAATAATTAATTAGATAGAGGTCACACTGGAGTAGTTTGGACCCTTACTTCTACGTGACTAACATCCTATAAGATCTAAGAATGCCAGAGGATGACAGATGGCCATATGACAGCAGAGGCAAAAGCTGGGGTGATGCATCTATGAGCAGAGGAACACCACAAAGGATGCCAGCTACTATCAAAACCTGGAAAGAAGGAAGGACTCTACCTATAGTCTCAGAGACAGTGTGTCGTGAGGACGTCTTGATTTTGACTTTTTGAACAGAAATGTGAGAGAATGAGTTCCTGTTGTTTTAAGCTACCTAGACTACTTTGTTATTTTGTTATGGCACCTTTAGTAAATTAAGACAAGTGCTTGAACTCCTCTAATATTCCCAAAATATCCCTTATTAGTGTGAAGACCATTATGCATCCATTAGACTATAAAAATTATAGCACTGAATGATAAAATACAAATTTACAAATTTTTCAATCCACACAAAAGTATTTATTGAGTTATATAATTTTCTCTTTTTTTCCTGGGTGTGTGTTTTAACAGAAAAATTCTAAAAGAAATTGTTCACTTTGGGAAAAAATATATATCAGAACTTTCAACACATGATTTTAGTGCTCAGAAAACTTAATTCAATATATATGTTACGATGGGCTAAAATTGTTAATGTATTTAAAATATACATAAGCAAATAATTCCTTTTAGAAAATGTAAGGCATTCTATTATAAAAAGTGAATATATTTTAAATGTGAAATTATATTAATGTGATTAAATAATTGACATAATTTTTAGTACTGTGACAAACAGAAAAATCTCAAGAAATAATCTCATTTTTTTCCTCTAGAGAAAAGTTTCCAAATAAATACCTCATGTTCTGCTTTTTATTATGCTGAATGTATGGGAAGGTGGGGCAGCTTCATCAGGACCCTCAGAGGGAATGAATTAAAGAATGACTGGAGAATTGAATCCTGCTTGAGATATTTAAAATTAGGTTATTAGAAATAGTATAAAATCTCTTTCTTTGAAAATATTTCTGTAATTTAATTAAGCAGGACACAATGAACACAAACTAGGCATCACAAAATGTTCTAAGGACCACAGAAACCAAAACGAATGAGATGAAACCCTCTATCCCAGAATTCACATCTTTACAGAGTTGACAAGAATGGAAGCAAGAAAAAAAATGCAATGTAAATTTTCATGAATAATTTTGAAAATAAAAATAAGATGTGGTTATTTTACTTGGGCAATTTTGAGGAAATGTTCATGCGAGAGATAGCTCAGGGAGATCTCTTGAATGATAAATGGAAATTTAATGGTCAGACACCTTGTAGAAGGGTTTACCAGAGGAAAATCAGTGAAGGAGACTGACAAGAAAAAAAAGACAATGTGTCTAATTTGATACTGGCTAAGGAGTGATCTTAACAACAACAACAACAAAGAATAACAACCATTTTTGGTTTAGTATCTTCTATTTTCCAGATTTTGTGCTAGGTATAGATAAAATGAAATACTACTATAGCTGATACTGTCACCAAGTTTTAAAAATCTTTGGCAACATGAATTTGCACACACAAAAAGGGTACAACTGGCAACTAATGTTTCTATTTCTATGTAAATGAAGATTTAAATTCACCCAGTAAAGTAAATTGTTTATTTATTTGGAAAAGCAATACAGTGATTTTTATTATCTAAACAGAACCAATAAGAAAGATATGAGTAAGTTTGAGATCATGAGCTTAGGAGCTATTCTATATGATGTGAAAACTTTGTTTTCACTAAGTATTGAAATCTGCTGGTGTAGATTCCTGTCAAAACTGGGAAGTAGGCATTAGAAGAGATGGAAGGCCAGACATGATGGTGCACATCTGTAATCCCAGCACTTGGGAGGCTGAGGCAGAAGAATTGCCACAAGTTTGCTGCCAGCCTGGGCTACATAGTGAGTTCAAGGGCACCTTGAACTACATAGACAGACCCTGTCTTAGAAGGAAGGAAGGAAGGAAGGAAGGAAGGAAGGAAGGAAGGAAGGAAGGAAAGAAAGAAAGAAAGAAAGAAAGAAAGAAAGAAAGAAAGAAAGAAAGAAAGAAGAGAAAGAGAGAAATGGAAGGGCACCTTGGTTACTTAATCACTGTGCTGGGGAAAGTTGGGCAGGTGTTTGAGGTAAGGATAGGCCCTGGGACCAGGACAATGGCAAGCTAAGAGGAGCAACAGACAGGAGGAGACTCCATGGCACATGAAATGGTCTACACTCCAGAAAAAGTCATTCCTGGTATCCAAATTTGAATTACTTTCTACCTTGTAAACCCCTTTCATTATCACCAAGTTTTCACTAATGTTTAGTTACACAGTGATGTTTTCTTAATTGCATTAGTTTGCTAGGGTAGTTTGAATTACAAAAATTTATTACTTCAGAGTTATGGCATCTAAAAGTCCAAAATCAAGATTTCAATACTTTTGGTTCTTTCGGAGGGTTGCTATCGCAGTTTTGTTCCTTGCCTCTGTTCTTGGACTATAGATGATGATCTTTACCCTGTCTCTTCACATTGCCTCCCTTCTATGTGTATCTTTGTGCCCAAATTTCTCTCTTTTATAAGGCCCCAGTCATACTGGATTAGAGCCCACCCTAATAACCTTGCTTTAACTTGACTGTAAACACCTTATATCCAAATAAGGTCATAATTGAGGTATTGATTGTTAGGATTTCAATATATGGATTTGGAGGGACATAATTCAATCCATAAACATTGGGTCTGGAGAAATTAAGAGACCAAGCTAAGTCTCCATTATGGAAGTAGTTGCATGGGAGGGGAGCCCATAGAAGTTGATAATAAGGCCAAAACAGAAAAGGTGCTAGACTGCAGTAGCCTGCACACAGTTTTGGACTGTGAAACATTTCTGCAAGTATTTCTGAAGGTACTGGAAAAGCTTTTATTTTCTGTTGTTAGTCAAGTATTGGGCATAGACATTGATATTGAGGCATTTGTTATTTAGTTTGAAAGCTAGGTATACCTTGCTCACAAGTATATTATCCACATTTCAAAGGGATAAAGCCACAATTCTGAGCAGTCAAGTCATTCTCATAATGATAAAGAAATAATACTCAGCAGGGCAGGCCTTTGTTTGTTGCCAACCCCACCTCCCCCACCCACATGTTTTTATCATAGAATGTTCTGCTCAAATAATGTAACTGTTTGTACTGCATGGTGTTCCTGCCCAATATATCAAAATGTTCTGTTCATGCAATGTAATTGTTTGTGCTGCAGGATATTTGTACCAAAGATTCTGTTAATTCTACCCATCTGTCTCAATGAGGATGTTCACCCAATAGGTGGGCCCAGCCTCCTACCCCAAGATGTCTATATAAGGCTTCTTGGATTGCTATTTTGGGGCTCAGACTTCGGAGTGTGAACTCCTCTATGTCTGCAGGCATAATAAAGAATTCCTCCATCTCTCCCATCTCTCCAAATGCCACTCTGCTCAACTTTGGCACCGGAAACCTTCAGATAGGTGTAACACTTTGCTGTAACATTTAACTGTAACACAGAGCTGTAACACTTGGCTGTAATGCTGGGCTATTTCAGTTTCCCACAATAATATGACCACCCTGGTGGGACATGGCATAGTATTTTTTAACTCCAAGACAGTGATCTTTCCATAGAACAAAAAGATAACTTGAAGATAAACAATTTACTTTCAAAAATTATCGTTTCAATTATTAGAAGTTAAATTATCACATAAGCCATTACATGCTCAGTGTTTGGCAGTTGGTAGGAGCTTAAAAATATTCTTTGAATGAATGTGTAACATCCAGAGGTGTATTGATTGTAGATATTTGAAAAGTGCTGGGATTGGTGACTCAGATTTCAGAGATCCCAATGATAGGGGGGAAATAATTTTTCTCAGAAGGAAGAAGAAAAGAAAAATTTTGAATATAAAACTCTAGTGAATGTTTTTATTGGAAAAGCTAAAAGGAAAAATGTAAATCTGGGAAAAGGAGACAGACAGAGACAGAAGGAGACAGAGAGAAATGTCATCGAGAGTAAAAGGGAAAAAGAAAAGGTGGATCAAGGGTAGCTCTTTCTCCAGAATATCAAAGAAGGTAGGAAAAGCAATTAGTAAAGCATTATATAACTTTTAGTGTGACCTGGGTTATCTGGACTCACTTTCATTCTAGTTTCTCCTGTCATTTAGAAGCATATGAGTGTTTATAATTATTGCTTCCTAAAATAATTCCTTGTAATTTTCATGTTATATTAAGTACCTAAAATTGACCACAGGATTTTATTTATCATTTAATGACTGCTAGAATGCTATTTGTCAAAGGTAACTTTAATATGTCCTTTAATTGTATAATATACACATTCATAAATTATTGTAGAGTTTTGCTTTCTTTAAACATAATAGAAGATGAATATTATAAATTCCAAATTAGCAAAAATATTAGAGAAAGATAAACTAGTATAATAAAAAGATAATAATTAATTTTAATCCCAATTTTCTAGTTTTAAGATGTACACTTTTTCATCTCTTTCAGAGGAAAATTGAGCACTTAAATTCAATGTTCCTCATGGTGAAACAGTGCGGGCAAAGGTAAGAATTCCTTTTGTACCCAGAGTGAAGTAATATTTCCAAATGCATTTTCATTGTCATTTATGGCAATAAGCTTATCAAGCATTTATGTTTCACCTGGCTATTCAAATTCCACCATATACAGGAACATAAGCATCAGTATTCTAAAATGATATTACTAACCTGGGGAGAATTATTTCCACCACTTCTTCCTCCATCTCAGAGGACCATTTCAGAATGTGATGGGCAGTCAGTAGTTTTTCCATTTCTTCTATGTTCACACCTTTTGCAGGAAGTATGATGATTAAACTAAAGTCATCACTCTTATAAGGCAATTCTAAAATCTGATAGCTGATGGAGGGTTCAGAAAAATAACCTGCAACGGAGAAAATAAAATATCAAATATCCACGGTAATTACCAAAGCCATGCTCTAAGAATATGGTTTCTCACAGTACCATAGTTTGTTCTTAGCCAAGCCTTCATCATTGGAATTTTGACTGCCGAGCCATCTTTTGTAATAAAATTCATCAGTTGTGTGTCTTCTTTTCTGAATTTCTGTTTCCAATCTCCTTTAAAATATATAGCATTCACTAGGACAAGTCGAGTCAGAGGGCCAAAATCTTCCTCAGAAAACATGTTTTTAATTTTTCCTATGAAGAGAATAGAGGAAGAGGAAAGGAGAAATATGCAATAATGACTCAGTGGGACTGTTTTAAACAGAATTAAAGCACAAATATCCTGTGCACAGCTATTTTGAAAAGGACAAGGTGTCTCATTTAACTTTTGCAAGTTTGAGAGGAAAAAGAATGTTAAATATTTCACTAAGTAGGATTTTTCACTCAGAAACAAGAAATATGAGGCTGTTTTAGGCAAACGTGAACATAGTAATGGACTCTCCTCATTGAGATTATTCCTTTCACCTGTCTCTCACACACAAAGAATAAAAACCAAAGTATTCATTTTTGTATGTTTATTGGCATTATTCAGACTTTGTTTCAAGCTTCTTCAGCTGGTAAATCATACATAATAGGTTAATGATATAGTCAATAGTGATAGCTTACAACTTTGTAAAATTTCAAGTCAGATCTGTTTGACTTTAAACTTGTTATGCACTTTTTAAATCATGCTAAAATTTTGCTAGCTTGTGTTTAAATTAAAAACTAGAATACTATATTTATGATAGTACCATTAATACTTATCATAAAATATTAACATATTTGATTAAACTGTGTTGAATTTTTTCTGCATATGTAGGAAAAAAGGAACTTGGGATTCACAGAGCTAACTTTCACCTGGCCAAAGCTACAACTCTTGCTTCCATACTTGAAAGATCATTATGGCTCCAACAAAAATTATTACTATAACACTTTTTTAAAGAATTCCATGGATAGATATCTCCCAGAAATAGCTTATGGATTCTCTTGGTTTTGCACATTTGTATTAACTTAAATAAAGCAAAATAAAATAGGAGATTTGATCCCTCTGATCCATAATGGAATAGAAAGATATTCAGTCAATTTTTAGAATATTAAAAACCATGTACACAATGGCAAATAATGATTTCATGAAAAAAAGAAACTTTACCATATGTTTTGCTTTCTATCCAGGTACTTATTGTCTCTGCACAAGCCTTTGCATCCTGAAAATCCACCAGTTTTACAGCACTCTGAAAAAACTCCTTGTTGCCATGGAGATACTGTTCTTTCACAGTGAATCCTTCTTGAAGGTAGAGGGCATTGGCAAGATTAAATGTAAATTCTTCTTTTTTCTCTGAGATGGCAGAGAAAAATGACTTCAGCACAGAAAATTCTTCTCCTAAAAAATAATTACAATGTATACTGACGTATTGAACAACATAAAAACAACAGCTTTCAGCTTTGCAATCTAACCATTCTGATTCATACCACCAGTTTTGCACCCTTAGGTGTCACTAATGATCTTAAGTTAGTATAAATATTTCAAGCTTTTATATTCTTTAGAATACACATGTTGTAGAGAAATCAACTTTTATATAGGCAAAAGATTGTCCATGTAAATTTAAAATTTGTTAAGAACAAGAATATGTATTTATATAGCCTGAAGAAAAGCCCCTCTTTACAACAATACACTTAGCTCAATTTTGTTGTTGGAAACTTACGTTTAGAATTTTATTTTTGCGTAATATGAATGTGATTCATATAAAAGGAGGATGCTTATGAATGTTAATGGGAGTATGACTGTTCTGAGCAATCCATTTCAATATTTCTCTTATTGCAGCTTAAGAATTGCTCTCTTTTGAGTGACTGTACCTGTCCATATTTTGAAACTTACAAGGTAGCCCTTATAAACATCTGTAAAGATGTGTAAGAATCAGAATTGTCTATTTCTTCCAATTTATGAATCTATATACTTTGGCTATCTACATGAAAAATAAAAATACGTAACCATTTCAACTATCACCACTAGCCAAAAGAGTCAGAACTAACTCAAACAATCACCACTGGCTATTCTTTATGACTTCATTGTTCTGATGCAGTATCATCAGGAAGCTGTACATGCATATGAGAAATATCTGTTCTGGTACTTTTCTTGGTAGTTTCCTATTCATTACTAAATGGTTAAACATTTTTCATTCTTTTCTGCCTTAACTCTAGAACTCAATCATTAAGTCAGAAACATTTTCAAATAACAATTTTTTCAAGATTTTCATTATATTTTAAGTGCTGAATACAACACTTTCATAACTTAGAGCAGATTATATTAAGTAAATCTATTGAAGAAAACAAAACATGGTTTGTCATTTAAAAATATTGATTGAGGTCAGGGGGATGGGGAAAAATAAGAACTAAGATATATCATGTAAAGGTACAAATTCCCAATAATGAATGTCATCATATTGTATACTTCAAATATACCAATAAAGGTAATGAATTTTTTAAAAATATTGATTGAGTACTTTTAAAAAATATTACTGAGAGGAACTTGCTAGTGGGTCATCGAATGGAAATAAGGGGTATGTATGTGTCCAAGCACATTTTCTATCAGAAAGCTCGCAGCCCACAGCACACTTGTGCACAGAAGAGAACAGAGCTCTCACTAGGAGTTGCAGCTTACTGGCCCTGCCTCTTGTCCAGTGTCTGTTGGCCTCCCTGCCCTGCTGCTTTCACACAGGCACAACCTGCACATTCTTCCAGGAACCTCTGCCAAGATGTTGCACTACATTTCAAACTTCAGGATTTGCTATTCACTGAGACATAGAAAAATATATAAAAGAGTTAAAATATAAAATGTTACTTCTATTATCGCTCCATCTGAGGAGTTTTTGTAATTCTGTACAACCCTGGAATTCTTTAAAAAAGGAAGAAAAGAAAGTCTATTTCACTTGTTTATGTAATGATTCCAGATGCAATCATTCATCATTATTTGAAGCTTAAAAAGAAATATTTTAATAGCTGGGAGGTTACAAAGATTTCTTGAGTAAAGACATAAGAGCATCTCCAAAAGAATTAATTAAGGTCAGAAATGAAGTGATAGAATTTGAAACTAATTTTCAGGTCAGAAGTGAAGTGACAGAATCTGAAATTAAGTTTTAAGAATAAGTAGCTTATGAGTGTCTTTAAAGGAAAGACATTAAAAAGAGAGACGTGGATCCCATGCTTCTAGGGCAGAGAAGCTGAGCTGGTCCCAGAACCCGGAAGGAAGCTCCCCTGCTGCCATCCCACGTTCCTAGGGCAGAGAAGGTGAGCCATGTGGGCGCCAGAAGC